CGCATATATATATATATATATTAGACATGTGTGAGTTGAATGTGTGTGTGTGTTGTGTGGATGTGTGTGTGTGTATTTAAACATATGTATATACAGACATGCGTGTGTATGTGTGAGTGTGCATATACACAATATATATGTGCGCGCTCGTGTGTGTGTGGATGTAAGTCAGTCTAAGTATTTTTCCCTGTGCACAACCCCCTTCGCCGAGCCCAGAGCCAGAGCCAATACGCTCGGCACATCAGCCATCTCATCACCTCCCGCCGAGCCATGACATGACAGCTGAATGAAGTCATCATCAAACCATTGATTGCCTCCCGAATAGTGATCAAACATTCATATCCTTTATATCTCCTTGTCCCTCTCTCCGCTCTCCACCTCACACCCTTCCTGGGCAAACACACGACCCCTTGCCCTGCTCCCTTCCCTCCCTTCCCTCGCTCCCTTCCTTCTTCTCCTCGTTCCCTCCTTCCTTTACCTTGGCCCCTTCCTCCTTCCTTGGCCCCTTCCTCCCCTTGCTCCACCCTCCTTCCTTGGCTCCCTCCTCCTTCCTTCCCCTCGCTCTCTTCCTCCTTCCCCTCGCTCTCTTTCCTTCTTCCCCTTGGCTCCCTCCCTCCTCCTCCTTCCTCTCGCCTCGCCCCCTCTCTCCTTCCCCACGCCTCTTCCTCCTTCCCTCGCCCCCTTCCTCTTTGCCTTACTCCCTTCCCTTCCCTCCCCTCTTTCCCCTCCCTCCATTCCCTCCTTCCCCTCTATTCGACATTCCCCCTCCCTCTCCCTCCTTGCCTTTGCCCTGCTCCCTTCCCTTCCCTTCCCTCCTTCCCTCCTTCTCCTCCCCCTTCCTCCTTCCCCTCGCCCCCCCTTGCCCTCTCTTCGACACTCCCTCACTCTAACCCCAGTATCACTCTCATCAAGGGTTCTTATTTTGGCCTCTTCTCGACTCCATTTTTCCCCTCTTCTTCTTCTGCTTCTTTTCCTTTTTTTTTTTCGTGTTTGCCCTTTATTCCATTTATTGATTGATTTTCTCTCTGTCTGTCTGTCTCTCTCTCTCTCTCCCTCTTCACTCTTTCTCTGTCTCTCTTCTCTCTCTCTCTCTTTCTCTCTCTCTCTCTCTCTCTCTCTCTCTCTCTCTCTCTCTCTCTCTCTCTCTCTCTCTCTCTCTCTCTCTCTCTCTCTCTCTCTCTCTCTCTCTCTCTCTCTCTCTCTCTCTCTCTCTCTTTGCCA